GTGTGCAATCGACACCGTGTCCGATCGGCACCGTGTGCAATCGACACCGTGTCCGATCGGCACCGTGTGCAATCGACACCGTGTCCGATCGGGAAATATTGCTGTGTCCGATTTGTAATGTGCGCAATCGGGACTCACTCGAAGACACAATTGTTATTCCTCTGTAGTCCTTCACCTCTCGCCTTTCTCCTTTTTTTATTATTGGAATTATTTCCCCTTCCTTCCATTGCTCCGGCCAGCCTTCCCCCCTCCATACCTGTTTACATATTTCCCATATCCATTTCACCATTTCTTTTCCTCCAAATTTAGAGGCCTTTCCACGCCTCGTTCGGTATCCCATTATTGCCTATTGCTTTTCCTGTTTTCAATTTCTTTATTACATTTCTTACCTCCTCCAGTTCTATCTCTTCCTCTTCTTGCCTGTCCCTTTTTTCTTCTCCTTTCACTACCCTAATCTCCACCCCATCCATTAACTCCATAAAGTACTCCTTCCACCCTTCGAGCTTTATCTCTTCGTTTATCCTTCTCCTTCTCTTTCTTACTCTGCCTATCAACTCCCATACCTTTCCTTCCGTTCTCGCTTCCCCTATCTCTCGTATCATCCTATTCTTTTTCTCTTTCTTCTTTCTTCTTCCTTCTTTTTTTGCACATTTCTCTGTACTCTCTCCTTCCTTTTCTATACCTTTCCACCTCTCCTTTTCCTTTCCTCCATTTTCTTAATTCTCTCCTCACTTCTTTCTTTCTCTCCCTGCATTCTTCATCCCACCACCCTCTTCTGTTCTTGTTAGCCATTCTCCCATCCTCATTTTCATTCTCCTCTATTACTTTTCTTATCTTCGATATTCCTTCTTCTATCTCTTCTTGTAGCTCTCTTTTTCCTCCTATCATTTCTAGTTTCTCTCTAAATTGCGTTCTTTTCTTTTCACTCTATATTCCTCTTCTTCTTATTCTTTCTCCTTCTCTCCTTCTCTGCTTTCCCTTTGGGTTACCTTTCACACAGACTATTAGTGGATGATAGTCTGAGTACTCTGAGTCTACTAATAAAAAAAGTCATAAACTATCTTTATTGCTTATCCCCGCAGGGTTTGCAAAACGTTTTTATAAGGAACGTTACCCAAACCTTTACCCTACTACCCTTTCTCCTCTCACTTTAACCCTTTGGACCAACGGCTAAATGTCTCTTTCCGAAAGACAGAGCCCAGTTTGCTCCGCACAAGAGCTTATCTTGCACGGAGGGGCGCAGCTTCGGAAAAACATTCCATGTTTACATGGCTCTAGTGGACTCGAACTTGGTTCCTCAGATTACAAGTCTGGCGCTCTACGACTAGACCACACTGCCGCCCTGGTCTGAGTCTACTCTTTCTCTTACTTTCAGTCTTTCTACTTTTTCTCTAACCTCTTCCTCTTCTATAACGTAATCTATAGATAACTGTCTCCTTTCTGTGTATGTAAATTCACCTTCTTCATCTCTTTTCATGCTTCCATTTAATATCATCCATCCTCTTTCCTCTATAAATTCCAATAGCTTTCTGCCATCCTTATTTATTTTCTTGTCTTTTGATTTTCTCCCTCTTTCTTCTATTCTTCTTTCGTCCTTCTTTTCCCATCCTGTTTCCTCACCCGTTCTAGCATTAAAGTCTCCACCTATAGGACTATAGTCCTTACTCCCTTTTCCTCCTCCTCCGTCCAATCTTTTAAATCTTTTAGCTTCTTGTCTATATCATTATTTATATATATCTTTACTATTCTCCCTTCTCCTATTCTTATCTTGCATTCAATTTTTCCTTCTTTTTCTTTCAGCCTTCTTTCTTCATTTACCTCTTCTATCCTTTTCCGTATTCTTAATAGCATGCCTCCACTCGCCCTGCCTTTTTTGCTTTTCCTGGTCGCTATCTGCACTCTCCATCTGTATTTGCTTGAAATCTCCTCTTTCATTTTCTCCCATCCCCTATCATCCAACCATGTCTCACTACGTCCTATTCCTTTATCCCTTCCCAGAACTCTTTATCCTTGTTTGCTACGCTCGCCACGTTCCAGAAGGCCAACTTCCAAGTCTCCTCTTCCCTTCTGTCTCTCTCTCTCTCTCTCTCTCTCTCTCTCTCTCTCTCTCTCTCTCTCTCTCTCTCTCTCTCCCCCCCCCCCATATTCCTTATTCTCCTCTCTGACCTTTTTTCCTACGTTTTCTTCTTCCTCCTCTTTTTTACCTTTTTTGTCCTCTTCGACTTCGTGTTCTAGATTGCCTTCATCCTTTGCTTTTCTTATATCCTCCCCTATATCCTCATCTCCTCTTCTTCCTCCGCATTTCCTCTCTTTCCCCTTCCTCCAACATCTTTTCCCTCTTTCTTCTCTCTCCCGCTCTCGTTTTATATTTCCTTTAACAGTTGTCCTTTAATACTCCCTCTTTATCATCTCATCTCCACCATATGTTTTCTAACCTTATCCTCCCTGTTTTAATAAAGGGAGGATAAGGTTAGAAAACATATG